GGAGTTTCTGAGGTCACTGCATATGTTTGTCTCCCAGCACCAAACACTGGGCGAGGTAATCTCTTTGCATTCTGCTCTCTTTAATTTCAAAATGAAAATATTGAAACACAAAGAATCTTCTAAACACTGCCTTTTGTTTTTTTTCTTCTTTTCCCTGCTTTTATCATGTGAAATCCCGGCTAGCTGCTGTACTTCTCAGTGTTGTCTTTCTCTGTGTTATCCTTTTTTACACTTCTGGTTGAAATCTATCTTCTGTTTATCATCATCAGGACAAAATGTCAAAAGCAGGGCCCAAGTGATCTCTGTCAAGAAATACCAAGAGGTTAGTCCTGGTTTGGACATCTTTCTCCATTTTTTTACCTGCAGTATTCGTAATGGTTCTGTGTTAATCTCAGTTGTAATCAATCAATCTGGAATTGAGAGAATTGTTGTGCCCAGAGTCGACCGACAGACTTTGTTGATGATTTGGTTAGTTTATCTTCTTGGAATCAATTTCTAAATGTGTCATTTGATTTGATGTAATTGTAGCTTTGCTAAGTGCATGAATGCGAATATAACACTTATCCTATGAAAATATTGTAGTATTTGCATTCTCTTGGCTACCGATGCTTTACGATTGGATAAAGTTCTTTTTGCCTCTAAAACTAAGCAGTGTTGTTGCATCTTTATGATGTGCTAGCTGCTTTATATCAGAAGTGCGGTAATATGGCACAATCCCAAATATACATTTGCTTGGATTTGAGGTTTTTCATGTTTTCTAATTTATAGTTAGATGTCTGTTCACTTGGAAAGGCCTTTTTGTGTATGAAAGAAACTTCTTCGTTTTATTGTTTAAAAATATAATACATTAATGTGTGTATTTTTGTGTTTGTTGTAAGGTTTAGGTTTTGTCATTTGATTGTCCTTCAAGGTTCGGTGATGCAGGATTCATTTGGGCGGGCGAAGAAGTGGATGCAGGAGTTACAAAAGCAAGGTGCCTAGGATTTATTCATTTACATCAATAGTAGCTTCATTCATGTTAATAATTGAAAGAAAGGAAAATGAAGTTTGGTTCTTTGATTTCAATTTGAGTTGGTCGTATCTGAAAGACAAATGTAGTTTAACAATATTGAATGTCCTAGGGAATCGATAAAATTGGTTTGTTCCTTTTGTCTTCTTTATTTATGTCATTATAACATGTTTTTGGCATCTTTTTCAGGTAATCCTAGCACCGTTATGGCACTTACTGAAAATAAATGTGATCTTGAAGATAAGAGTTATGTGACTGCGGAAGTAAGTATTGCTCTCACCTTTGGGAGCATTTAGTTTTGGAGCATCAGTTTTCATCAACTTTGTTTCAGTTTTAATGACTTTTATTGTAGTTTTCTATGAGCCAAGTCTCAAGGTTTAGATGATACAACATTAGAAGAAATTTAGATCATGAAAAATATAGTTACGAATTTTTTGAAGTCTGTGAAAGAAACAATGATCGTTAATCGGATAACAATGAGACGTAGAAAGTTGATTCGATACAAATTGTCATTGTATTATCCAGATTAATAATTAGTACAACCGAAATTATATCAAAAAAGATATATATATAGAATTAGGCTAATATAACCCAAAGAAAAAAGGAAAAACCTTTGTATTGATATCGAACATATAATACTAGATTTCTTAATGTTTTAACAACACTCTTTGCACTGAAAATAGACACCTTCCTTCTTCTTTTTTAAAAAAATGCAACAAGGAGCAAAAAGAGCATTAAATAATTGTGGAGCTCGATCAAAATTTTTAGGTGTTTATGATATGAAGGGTTTTGGTTCGTCGAAGTTTATTACTTCTTCTTCAATTTAGATTTAATAATTATAGATTTTTAAATTTTGGGTTTTTCATGAGGTGGGAGTTAAATAATCATGTAGAAAGATGTAAAATGC